TTCCCTACCTGCGTAGGCCTGAATCGTGCTTCTCCTGATGGCTTTACCATGGCTAACAGAGCCAGGCACAGAAGAGCATCAGCACAGGGTTGTCGTTTGCAGGTCACAGCCCCCCTGTGGGGAACAGTGCATCCTTAGGAATATTTGCTTGCAATGCTCTGTTAGGAGCAAAACCGCCTAAATATTCTGCTGAGGTTTCCACGGGGATTGGGCTGGGGAGAGGGGTTTCTGAACCTGTATGTCTCAAGGAGATGGTCAATGATCTACAGGTTGCAAACCCTCCAGTCAACGGTTGGGTAACGGAGCTGCTTTATTCCTGTTGCAGGATGCAGAAGGTGGTATTGTGTTGCATTAGCTGAAATTCAACACTGGTTAGTATCCCCATCTGGACTTGCATTCAGGTTTCTGGCAAAGTCCAGAGCCACCAAAAGTGCAAAATATATATACACACATACACAGATAGATAGATAGAGAGAGAGAGAGAGAGAGAGAGATCTCTATCTATATCTATATCCATCTCCTTTCTATCCCTATCTATCTATCTATCTATCTATCTATATCTATATCCCTCTCTCTCTATATATATATATCTAGATATGGATAAAGATACACGCATACACATTTATACATCTATTTGTATGTTTGTCCAGAGCCACCAGAATTACATATAGATATTTGTATATATCTATACACACAAATTTATGTATCTATATTTGTCTATTTGTATCCATATCTATACCTACATATTCTATATATACATATATATAGATATAGATAGATACAGATAGATCTAGATGTGTGTGTGTATACACACACACACACACACACACACACATCTAGAGCTATCTACATGTGCGCACACACACACACACACACACACACATATATATTATATATATATATATGTATTTCTTTATGAATGGATGGACTGATGTAACACGCTATGGTGCATATGCCATCTTGAATGTGCGTCAGACTGAGCTATTTTTTGAGCTATGTTATTCTTCATGAGCTCATTAGCTTCATTAAGTAAGCATACTTCTTTAGTGCTGTGTATCTTTGGTGACCTCCAAAGCAAAAATTATTTGCAACAGGTGACTGCAGTGCAGGGAAATGAATTACGAGCACAGCTGTGTGAAGAATGAATGACTCGGTTCAACTCCCAAACCAGGGAACTGGAAAGAGGAACCCGGGTCAAGCCCTAAACTGTGCATTGCTTGGTTTTCCTCCCGGAAGCAAAATACAGAAAAGCAGGTTTAACATTTTCATTGGGCCTGGAAGGACAAGATTTTCACCCTTTTGAAAAGGAAAGGGCATTTACAAACAGGCCCATGAGTTCCCGGGGGCATCACTCTGGGACCGCGATCCACAGGACAGTGGAGGTTTCTAACCGTCCACAGGGTGCCGGGAGCAGAAGGGGATGGAGATCCACAGTGGAGGCTGCTCCATACCCAGGTTGCTGAACAGGGTGAATGTGAGCATTTCAAAAGCCATGGGAGTGCTGCCAGGTCACCTCTTACCAGCTCTCATTTTATTTTTCGTGTCACGCAATGGAGGTGAATACAAGCATCCCAGGGAAATTTATACCCATTCAGAGGGCAAAGCAAGACTTAAGGGACACACACAGGGTGGATCTGGGGGAGGGGGCAGTGATGCAGTCGCACCCCGCTTTTAATCCCAAACTTTAAACCAACTTCCCAGGAGGGGCAGCAGCGAGGGAGTCAGATACATCAGAATGAGCCATGAGGACCACCGATTCCTACTAATCTTTCTTTACTCCACAAGTGTTAACAGCCTTTTCTTCCTTTTTAATGATAGTGCAACATCCAGGACATATCCTTTCTTCTGCAATTTTGCTGCCTCTTAGCTCTTCCTGCGAATAAGCAAAATGTTGATCGTCTCTCTTGTCTGCAGGGCTATAAAATGCAAGGGCTTTAGTGAGAGCTAAAAACAAATGTAGATGGTGTAATATTAACTCAGGTGTGGAAATGGCTGATAGTGAAGTAACAGTACTGTCCCTCCATCCCCCTTGTTCTTCAGCCTGTATAAAATCTACAGATGTGACAACTGACTTGGCCAGCAAGCGAGAGAAAACCATACATTATTTAATTGTGTTTATGGTCTTCCCTGACAAAGTAATTCATATACACTGTACAAAAGCATTTTCTATCTCCTTTTAGGCCTTGTGCATTAAGGAAACCATCAAAGTAAGGTAAAAACAAAAACAGCCTAAGCATTTTAACAAAAAATATATCTATTATAGCAAAATAACATCTAATACCTTTTGTTACATCAATCACTACTACTACTTTATCATAGCAGCAGTATAGTAGTAGTAGTAGTATATCTTAAAGCTGTTTCTTCTTTATCTTATCTCCTTTCCTTCCTCATTAGGGACTAAGAAACCCGCCCTCTTTGTTTCACTAAAACTTTTGAACCAGATCTCTCATGCACTTGGAAGGTGTCGGTTAATTCGGATTTATATCCTTGGGAAAGGAAGGAAGTTAAATAAAATCAGTCAGAGTTCATTGATTAGAATATTAAAACCAGCTGTTTATCAATATTGGGCATAGGCTGGAGGGAAATTTGGAGCAAATTCAAGAAGACCTGCCGCCCATCTGCATGCCACCCTCTCGAGTCTCCCCGGCTGGTAGAGATGAGGCTCTATGCCACGCTGCCGCGGCTAGCCAGAAGGACTTTGTTCCCATGTTTTCAGGTGCAAGCGAATAAACATATATCCCAAAGGGTTGGGCCCTAGACCTATTTCTGACTCTTTTAGCCATTGCCTACCCACAGGTTCACCTGTGATCTGGGCTACAAACCTCCTTGCAATAAAACAGAAGCATAAGCAGGCTTCCTGGCAGCTTCATGGCCTGCTGCAGCTCCCATGGCCCCAGCTGGGAAGCAGTTTTCACCCAGTCCCTGCCCCTCAAGGCACCTTTTGTGCCTTAACGAGAAAATGCCTCGCTAAGCGGGGTCGCTGTCTGAGGAGCCATGAACGCTGATCATCCCAGGCAGGGAAGCAGCGCACTGCATGCAGAGTCCTGTTTAAGAAGAGCTACCTATTGGCCAATACCTGGTGGGATTATTCCTGGAAGCTGGGATACTTCTTTTGGCCTCAACACCAAGTCAGGTAAAAGCGTGCCTTTGATAGCAAAGCGTGGCGAGGTGGACACGTGGGTCGTGTTTGCTTCATGTGAATACGTGCATGAGAGCGGGTGAGAAGGGGAGAGGTCTGTCAGAGGTCTTCAAACCAACGGGCTGACCTTTCCCTTTGCCAGGCCTTGATCACTTCACTGTAGCCTTATTATGATTTACTGCTTCTGCCACCATGTCCGTTCACCCTCTCCTCTGAACTTTCTTTCCTCCGCTTCTGGACCTTTGTGGAGGCGGAGAGTGGGAGACGGGTCTAACCCTGTCTGCATTTTAAAAGACTGTTGAAGAATGAGACGTGACTCCGAAACATGATTCGGATGATGCCCCTAGGATGTGGGACAGGATGATATGGTGGTCCCCGAGCGCTACGAATCCACGTGCCCAGCCGTGGACACAGGGAGCAAAGCTGGGGAGACTCCATCCCACGGGGGCTGAGGTTGCCCGAGCTCTGGAGCAACTCCTGGTTTACACCAGGGCAAGAGGCAAATCCAGCCTGGTGCCTGCTCTGACATCCTTGCTGTGCACGATGTCATCGCCGATGTCATAGTCGGTGCAGGTGGATGTGGCATGGGGAAGAAGGGCAGCAGCAGCTGTTGGGGTCTCAGACAGCTGGGGCTGGGAGGAGACGGGGGGGCTGGTTTGCATGATTTGGGAGCAGATGGTGGCTCCAGGCAGGGCAGGGGCCAGCCGTTCAGCTCCCGCCGCCCCCCTGCAACCAAGAACACCGATAATACTACCAATAGCGTGACATCGTCCCCCCTGCCCCGTGCCCCTGCTGTCCACGCCTCCCCGAGCCCAGCCACCCATGGCCGAGAGTGGAGAGAGCGTCATCGCCTGCCCAGTCGTCACGGCTAACCCACACATCATCCGAGTCACGGTGAAGACCCCCAGGGTGAAGGAGGAGTTCACGGTGCCGGAGAACAACACCATCCAGCAGTTCAAGGAGGAGATCTCCAAGCACTTCCACTGCCAGACCAGCCAGCTGGTGCTGGTCTGTATGGGGAGGATCTTGAAGGACCAGGACACGCTGCGGCAATGGGGGATCCACGACGGCATCACCGTGCACCTGGTCATCCGGACGCACAAGAGGTCCCAGGATGACCTGGTGCTGCGCAGAGCTGCAACCCCAGCCCCAATGTCGTCCCTGGACACCTCCCCTGCCAGCAGCGCCTACGACTTGGTCAGGCAGAGTCCGGCGAGCCTGGAGGCAAAGACTTTGAGCACTGAGCTGCAGACCCAGCCACCGCTGCAGCCCCACGCGGAGGCCGCGGTGCCGACGGTGGAAAACCTCTTCATCCACAGCATGCTGTCTAACCCCGAGCTGATGCGGCAGCTGATCCTGGCCAACCCACAGATGCAGCAGCTGGCCCAGCAGATCCCCGAGATCGGCCACGTCCTGAACGACACCGACATGATGCGGGAGATGCTGGACATGGTGAGGAACCCGGACACCGGGCCGGACACGAGGGGTCCGGACCAGGCCGCCAGCTGCCTCGAGAGCATCCCAGGTGGGGACAATCCCTCGAGAGGTGCCTACATGGAGCCCCCGGAGCCGATACTCGGCGCCGCCCCCGACCCCCTGGGCCGCGGCCCGTTGGCCTTGTTGGTGAGGAACTCGTCTGCGGAGGAGGTGGCGAGGGACGGGCTGCTCCCCTGCGTCGACGCCTGGGACCATTCGCCTCCTCCCTCTGTGTCCCAGAGCGCCA